CTGCTAAATATCTCTCTGGAGAGTTGAAAAGAGGTCCTTTAATTATATTCACTGAAACATATTAACTTTCTGAACTGTATGAAAATTAAGATATAGGCCCTATTGGGTTGATTGAAAAGTTTCTGGAAATTTCTAGAGTTTTACAGTGTAACATTTATTTCAAAACAGAAAATAGTTTATTCAAAAAAATAATTGCCACTACAAACAAACATCGCTAAACCCGATACATAACATAACTAAACACCAACGATATGCCGAAAATCTATCGGGCTAGTATTAGGCTAATTACTAAATAAATTACATAACGAATTTGTCTCTAGAGGTAGGCATTAGGCACCATCTCTTATTAATATTAATAATTATAAATAAATTAATTAATTAAACTAATTTAATATATAACACATTCAGTGCCCACGTCCACCAAGGCACTCAACCGGCCATCGCAAGCCCCGGCAAGGCGTAATATAAACAAACATCGCTAAACCCGTTACATAACATAACTAAACACCAACGATATGCCGAAAATCTATCGGGCTAATATTAGGCTAATTACTAAATAAATTACGTAACGAATTTGTCTCTAGAGGTAGGCATTAGGCACCATCTCTTATTAATATTAATAATTATAAATAAATTAATTAATTTAAATAATTTAGAACCGCTGGGAGAAAAAATCGGCCCGGAGCGGGACTCGAACCCACAACTCCTGCTTACCGTGCAGATGCGTTGCCAGTTACGCTATCCGGACCTCCGATCCGATCTCCTCTTCCAGCGTATAACTATGTAACCATCGACGGTTATTACAATGCCGGCTGGGGACACATTCAGTGCCCACGTCCTACTCCTATAAGGCACTCAACCGGCCATCGCAAGCCCCGGCAAGGCGTAATATATATAATCATCGCTAAACCCGATGTAATATAGCTAATCACCAAACATATGCCGTAAATCCATCGGGCTAGTTTTAAGGCTAATTACTAAATAAATTACGTAATTAATTTGGCACTAGAGGTAAGCGTTAGGCGCCATCTCTTATTAATATTAATAATTATAAATAAAT